TGTGTACTGTTATTGTGACCTAAAAATCTCTACCCCACAGGCTCAAATTTGTAGTCCCAGCTCTGTTTCCTATTAATGCTACCTTCTCCACTTATTGCACTTTCTGGATTTAAGTACCAATTACTGCTGGTTATTATCCTATTCCTTGCTCACACTGAGAGAGGACCTCCTTGCATTACAGTTGGCGGGACCTAGATACTTACCTGACCCCCAACACCACGTTTAGGCGAGCACATATGGCTGGCAGCGTTTAACTCATTGACTCCTGGTTCCACTTCAGTTTCTTCTCTATCTGTGTTTTGATCCCATTTACAATGCTGCAATCACAGCAGTAGATTTGCACTTCACTGACTACCTTGGAGTCACACCTTGTCACTTATCATTTATGATGGCTGGCACTGATGCCTGGCCGCATGAGACCACGGCTCAATGTTGTACTGCTTGTTATTATCTAATATCCTTGTTATTTCTAATACATTGTTGCTATCCAATACACTTGCTATTATCCAATGCACTACACTATCAAGATGTGAACTTTACTGATTAGTTGGAGGCTTTCATTCTTTATTATGGACACCGTTGCTTCGAGAAAAACATCACCATCCCTAGTTATTTTCCCTTTCTTTCCACTCACTTTATGCACTACCTCATCGGTCCTTGATTTGCACTTAGCTTTCTGGCTCTGGTCATACTTATTATTTTTGAATTTGCAGTAGTGTCGGCTTGTGGCAACACTGCCTATGCCCGGCTCTAGGCCTTCTCTCCCCATTTCTGTCACTGATTTCACTTTCAAAGCTATTTATGTAATTTGTAGCCCTTGCCTCTTTTTTCTGGTTTAGGCAGCTTGTAATTTCACTGAGCTCTAACACTTTAAATGATCCCTTCAATATCCTTGGATAGGCCAGAAAGAACCCAAAACCCGTGAACACTTAGTATGCTGTTACTCCCGCCGATATCCAGTGTGTGGGTGGTGTGTGTTAGATATGTGGGGTTAGATATGTGGGACAGTGGGTAACCAGCAGCAACAGCCTGGTTGACCAGACAAGCACCGGGTGTAGGAAGATTCATGAAACTCGTCAAAGATAATTAGCACACTTCTGAAAAAAAAATAGACCGAATGTTGGTGAACATGTTTTCTTTGGGTCATCATGCCTTGACGGGATACCCCGTAGTGTTTATATATTTATATATATTTATTATTATTGTTAGGGATGTGCCAGAGTATAGATATCTTATTTTTATAATCAAGGGGAGCGCTAAACCCGCAGGATTATGCAGCACCTGTGGGGGGATGTGGAAGGTATTCAGGCTTAATTCATGGAACTGAAGCACAGATCCAATTCCCTAGATCAAGAGCCCCTCACCAGCATCCAGGAACCTCCCTTGAGGGGAGTATAGATATCTGTATCAGCAGTTTTTATGATACCGGTATCAGTGAAAAAAACTGATAGATATCTGATGCTTTGAAAATATTTTATTACATGTGTGTTTAAAAATATTAAAATTAAGATTACCTCACTATTGTGAATCTCTCTCTCTCTCTTTCTCTCTCTCATCTTTGCCTCTGTTTATCTCTGTCTGTCTCTCATACACAGTAGTACCGTACCTCGGTACTCCAACGGCTCCCAACTCAATTCGGTATTCGAACTTTGTTCGGTAAAAAAATCGCTTGGTAGTCGACCATTTGCTCGGCACTCGACCAAACAAACATGACCTGCTGCTGAGAAATACATCAGCGAGTTTGGTATGTAGAAGCTGAGGGTTTTATGCCCCATAAAAATGAGGAGGAGAGTAGGACTATAAAGTACTGAGTGGGATAGAGTGGACAGGGACAGGGTTCGAGAGATGAGAATCAGGAGCACAAGGGCACATCTGGAAATTCAAAACACAGATGAGTCACTGGGATGTTAGGAAGTATTTCTTTAGTCTTAGTCAGGAAGTGGAACAATTTGGACAGTGGAGTGGTAGAACCACAATACATACTTAGATTTAGAAGAGGTATGACAAGGCTCTCTAAGCCAAGAGTGAACCTAGTAGCAGCCAGTGAAGAAGCAGGGCCAGGACCAGAGACTTGATCCCTGCCACCACATGTGAGGACATATAGGCAAGTACAGCCTCTCCTCGCTTAGCGACATACTCGTTTACCAACGTCTCAGACTTATGATGGGCTTTCTGACCAGTATGCATGCCTAAATAATGTATATTAAAGCTATTTTCTCTATTATGTTTATTACAGTATACAGTACACTACTGTATAAACATTTAAAAGTATACCAGAAATGTTATAATTGGTTCAGAGGTGACATTAAAACAATATCATAGATGGTTGACACAAACCCACTACCGTTATAGTATGCTCCTCACTTAGCGATGAATTTGTTTACCAACATGGTCTTAGGAACAGAACTCCGTCATTAAGTGAGGAGAGGCTGTATACATACAAGACCAGAAATACACACACAGGATGTAAATGGTTTAGAAAACCGACAAGTTGAAAGAATTAGACACTTGCAACATTTGGGAATCTTTATTGTGGAAACATTTTTGTGTGTGAGGGGCTTAGACATCCAACAGGCATGTGAGAGCATGTTAGGCATGATTGGACGTAAGTGGGCGTTATGACTTGACTCTGTTGGAGTGTGAACAAGATAACATTTATGAAGGGATTCAGAGAAACCAGTTAACCAGACTAAAGTCTAGAGGTGGAAAGTTCAGGGCCTGTACTGGAGAGTATACCTGGAGAGGGTTTTGGGGGTCTGTGACCAGGCCTTGCGGTGGATCAGGGCCTGATCAACCAGGCTGTTACTGCTGTCTGCACACAAACTGAAGTATGAACCACAGCCCGGCTGGTCAGGTACTGACTTTAGGTGCTGTCCAGTGCCTTCTTGAAGACAGCCAGGGGTCTATTGGTAATCCCTCTTATGTATGCTGGGAGGTAGTTGAACAGTCTTGGGCCCCTGACACTTATTGGGTTGTCTCTTAGCGTACTCGTGGCACCCCTGCTTTTCATTGGGGGATATTGCACTGCCTGCAGAGTCATTTGCTTTTGCAGGGAGTGATTTTCTTGTGCAAATTTGGCACTAATCCCTCTAGGATTTTCCAAGTGTATATTTTCATGTTTCTTTCTCATCAGCATTCCAGGGAATACAAGTCAAGGAACTTCAACCATTCCCAGTAATTTAGGTATTTTATCATGCTTAGATGTGCCATGAAGGTTCTCTGTACATTCTCCAGGTCAGCAATTTCACCTGCCTTGAAAGGCATCATTAGTGTATTATGAAGGAGAGGTGGAAAGATTGATGGAGTGAGTGATGATGAAAGTGGTTCATCTTTTTTGGGTCATCCTGCATTAGTGGGAAACGGTCGATGTTAAAAAAAAATAAAAATGAGCAGATACAGATATTCATGTTTAGGCCAATACCATCAAAATTAGCAGATATCCACCAATACCAATACTTTGTCACATCCCTATTAATATGTAAACTATAATTCAACAAATTTCATAATGGCATATGAAAAACTTATAAAGTTAATAAAACAGCCCCTTCCCGTATTTCTGTCAAACTTTATTGTTTCTTGAACACAAAGAACTTGCACATACAACTGCTTTGAAGGTTAGGAATGAACAGAATACAAACATGTCAGCAGAATTTGCCGCAGAAGTAAGGAAGAAGCTCCAGGACTGTCGATACTCTTAGGGTTCACCATCAATCACTTGAAATAAAATAATAAATCTCTGAAGTGTAAAGCCAAATGCAATACAGGAAGCTCCTGGGGCCTATGTTTCCTATGGAGGCTAGCTAGGTAGTTCTCTGCCACTGTTGGTTCCAGGATGCCAAGTACTGCTTATGGCTTAAAGTAAAATATATTCACCACTCTTAAGATTGATCACATCCTGTGTAGCTGCTAATATATTGACCTCGATGTGAGGTTCTTAATGCCAGCATTCATACTGGTTTTCTAGTCTTTCCTATAACTGGCATCAAACTGATCAGTAGCTGGCCTCCAACTACCTGCGACTGGAGGGAGGGGTAAGAGATATGACTAGGAAAAAGCTACAATTTACAGCTGTTGCATTGGGGGTCTCTACGAGTCATATCAACCTGTCAGCTTGAACAGAGTCATAGGACATCATCTAATGCAAATAGAATAACTGTTACAATATGAAGCTTAAAAAAATTAAGAATTATTTACCTGCAAGTACTCAGGTTGGCAGAATTGACATAGTAATGAACTTAAAATTGGTGTGATCTCAACTAAATCCCAAATCATAGCAATGATATAAACAAAATCACTATAAAATTCGTATTTAAAAACATTGAGTATTAGCAAAGAAAGCCCAACAGTCTTCCGGATGTATCTAAATTCATCATACATACAAGTAAAGAAAATGAAAGTACGGGACACAGTTACAATACTGTATTGAAAAAGATCTGTGTTTAAGAAAATGCCTGCAGAATCATATATACAAAAAAGTTGATACATAGGATCTTAGGGGGCAGAGCCAGGGATAATTGTTACCAGTAACTTTGGAATTGAATATCTAATTTCCTTAAATCTAAACCCCCAAGTTCCCTTGCTTCACTGACACTATGATGCACACATTGGCACCTCCATTTCATCAGCAAATTAAAAACAAATCACATTCCATGTTCGAACAATTAATGAGTTCAAAATTGGAGATCTCGTACCTTACCAACTAAAAATATAAAATATTTCTTGACTATTTTACAAACTTTATACAACATTATAGTACACAACATATGCTCTTCTAGCAATGCATCGGCTCAATAAATAAAAATGATATAAAACAATTACGCTATGCTGTCCTCCGTGCTCAAGGCATTTACAGATTTCTTTGTGACTTTCAAGTGGTAAACTAAAGAGAAAGACTGAAAGCCGACTCCAAAAGCCTCTCTTCTTACATCTTTCAGCACACGCACAAAAAAATTTTTTTGATTCTGCCTTCTCAAAAGTTTACACCAAGGTTGCGAAGAGTATGTATGTGTATTGGATATAACTGTCTAGCTGTATATAGCATACACAGCATTTCCATTGTAGTTTCCCACACTTATGGGAAGTTGCCGGAGAATATGCCGCTGATTATGATAGTAATGGTAATAGAAGACACACAAAGTAATTGTGAGACTACATCAGTAAGAAAATAAGACACGTCTCTTGAGGTCTGTCAGGGAATTTGCCACAAAGCAAAACAACAGCTGTGATAGCATTTGGACTTGCCAAGGGGAAGGCTCGAACTGCCAACAGTGACCTAGCCTCTTATATTTTTAACCAAACACACCTTGCCATGACATAAAATAATATCTTTGCACCCAAGGAAAATTATCTGTGCTCCACAAGTATATAATGTAGAAATATCAGTCAAACTGTCAATAGCACACTAAAAACATTGTCCTCCTGTTTGGCAACCTTCCTCCAAAAAGCCCTAATGCTTCCACCACGCTGCCCTGGACGATTGCTTGATTCTCGGAACTGTCAATGAGGCAGTGAAAGTGGTCGCCCTGAGGCTTCATCAGAAAAAAATATTCCCTGTAACAAAAGGACTAAAAGCAAATAACTACACATACTCGTGACAAAAGATGCAGCAACTTAAATTTGCAAATCGAAGACCACTTTTTGAAAGCTACTTGAAATGATTGGCTAAAACTTTATGCAAGCTGAATTACATATTAATAGGAACAATTCTAGTGGCAAACACCCTGACAAGGAACCATAACTGAGAGGGTGTGGAATGTGAAGACCAGTGGCCCACTCTGGCACAAGGGTTGTGGACCACTTTGCCACATTATCTCCCTCCCCTTTCCAAAATACAAGAATCCAAAATTATCACACACGGAACTTCCCTAGGAATACTCACTCCTTCCTTCCTCCTTCTTTGGGACTTACATTCTAAGTTTGTTCTTCTATTATTATTATGAAGCTGACGTATGAAAATACCTACCTACACAGTCAAGGATGTTTTTTGATTGTTACTCATTACTTTACAGTAACAACACAGCAAGTTACACATTTCTTATGTCAGTGAGTTGTATTGCTTGGTGCTTTTGTAGAAATTCCTATATGCTAAATAAGATCTACAAAATTTTGATTATCTAGTCATCACACATGTTCCCAAAAACATAGGCTTTTGCTAACAATATTACAAAGGATACACAAACATGCACTTGGTATTCACAAATCATTTGACGAATTGTAAATAAATTGTTTTGGAATTAAAGTTGTAATGTTACATCAAAGGATACAACAGTGTGACTAAATCAAGCTACAATATGGTCCAATGATACTGAAACACATGATTACACAAAAAAACTAATAAATTTATGCAAGTACACGTAATCCTGTGCAAAAAAAAAAAAAAAAAAAAAAAAAAAAAAAAAAAAAAAAGAGAGAGGACAGTGCAGGACACCATGGGATGACTGGACAGACACTGAAAGGGTAGTTCGACACTCTTGCTGTGTTAGTGAATGGAAGAGTGTATGTAGCTTTTAAGCTTAGATTATAAGCATTGGTTAAAGAAATCTTCACTCTACTAAAGTGAGATATCTGAATACAGTACTGTACTTTGTCAAAAAAAAAAACTTTTTAATTCATTGCAATCAAAATTATACTTCTCCAAACACAATCATCAAATTTACTGACACCCAGCCATTTACCAGCACTGCATTATCTGACTTAGGTAACGACAAGGTAGTGTAACTACAGCAGTTGGGTCCTGCGGGAGGGAGGGAGGAAAGGGAGCGGGGAATGGCCGGATGTTCACATGATGGGATAAGTGATATGTGCGTCAGGAGGGAGGTTCTCTCTTTTCTTGGCAATTTTCTAGTTTGCAATGTCTTTCAAGTCCTCCAAGGATTGAAAGAATCCCCCTAATAAGCCGCTTTTGAAGTTAAGCTTTTTTTGCACAGAGCTCTTTCTTTGCTGGCCTGTGTTCACCCAGTATTTTTCTGATTTATCCAGCTAGTGTGCATGAGCAATTTTTAATACACACTACACTGCAGTTCACCACAGACAGGCAACTTAGTCTCTCAGTAGATAGTGAGACGCTGGCAGAAGCTTAAACAGGAAACAGTCTCCGAGAGTTCATCAAAGGGTAGAAAGGACAACACCAATACTAGACTTTGGCAGAATAAGGTCTGGCAGCAAATGGAATATCAACAATTACACTAAGGGTCAAATCTCAGGAGTGGTGTACAATGCACGGATGTGACAGGCAAGCTTATCAACCCTCCACAGACATGATTGTGGGAGCTGCTCACAGCTGTTTGTTCCATCGCCAGCCCACACACATGTGCACCACAATTCTGTCTCCAACACACCATTGGCCATGAAAATATCACAAGAAGGAGAGGGTGGGAGCACTTCAAAAATGTTAAGTAGTCATTTGCTGCTCAGAGGCATGCTTCCCCATATATACTTCATACTCTAGGATACAGGGTATTCTTGAGCTACAGTATTTTGGAAAAATCTTGTCTTTGTTATGGACAATTTTCACTTTATTGCATTTAAATAACATAAAAAATGCACTTTATACCCTGCCCTGAACAAATCTTAGTGTCTTTCCCTCTTTCATTATCACATTTTCACATAGACGATGATGGCCTTCAGGTCCAACTTGACGCACCAGTGGACATCACATTCATTCTGGACCTGGACATTAGTCCACCTGACTACTTTACCCTAACTCAGTACCAAGTGTTGGCATTAGCTAGAGTAGTGGCACTATACTAGGAAGCCCTCAGACATGTTGACGGCCAGCTGTGTGCGCAAGGTGTGTATACTCTGCAGAAGCTTCTTCTGGTGGCCAGCTAGTGTGATACCAAACCGAGTTAGATCATGCTGAGTCAGGCGAGCCACTTCTTCCAAATCAGTGAGGCCTGTCCGCTGGAAGTTTTCCACATATCGACTCATCTTCAGGGAAGCAAGCCAGTCCTCTATAGAGGTCAGCTGGGTCATGTCAACCGAATCTAGACCCAAGGCTGTTGTACACCTGTTGGAAAACAAAATTAGTTTAACTGTTTTACCTAAACTAATTCTGAATGATATAACAGCAGAAATTACAAAAAGTTTCCAATGTAAAAATGTGCACCTAAAACTAGAACCTTACCATAAATAAGATAAAAATTACTGAATTAATGTGAGTAAAAAGGGATTAGCTAAAGATATGGAGGAATGTGGTGCCTGTGATAATCTACGTTCCAGTGTAGATAAGAGTAGTTGGCCAGACTACCCTAGAGCTCCACTGCCAACAAGAAGCAGCACAGGCAGCAAAGGAGGTTTGATCAGATCATGCCAAGACACTACATTTGGATGCAGAAGCTTAGGGAAATGATGTGCCATGCAGTGAGAGCATAGACAGTATAGCATCTACATACACCCTGGTCAGCTGTAATAAGAGGTTAGAATGGTACTCAGAGAATCAGTTTCGAAGTGTATGCCATACACTACAATCCTGAATGCAATGCTCTGGTGTCACAGGTTACAGGAATTACACATTAAGCTGTGATGTCTGCCATGACACCTCAATTTATTACCTTAAACCTCCACCAGGTGACAGGCATATCAGGCATGACGGCGTTATTTAGGCTGCCTGGTTAAAGTTGACCCACTGGGGTCGGATGAGGACGGGTGCATAGTAGGGGTTTTGGGGGGCCGGCCGCCTGGGGAGAGATCATAGGAGACACCACCGTCAGCCACACTACCACACCAGGCCAGGAGGAACAGGGAGTGGAGGAGGATTAAGGAAATGGATTGGGACATTATGAGTGACAGGGATTGGATGTGGAGAAGCATAGTAAAAAGTAGATGATGGAAAGGTTTACAAAGAAAGCAAAAGGTATGATAGAAAATGAATAAATAAAAATAGGATGAAATTTATTATGGGGAACAAATGATATCTGAAAACTTACCATTAGAAACAATGATGAGCTTTAGCAAGAAAGGCTTTAGTAGAACTAAGAGTGAAGATTATAAAAAAATTTGAAACCTATTGAATAAGCAAATTAGGAATTATGACAATTGGATAAGTATGTTGTTGAAGTAAATTTATAAATGTTATTATATATAATAAATGTGAAGGAAACTGTACTAGAAAATCATGGAGTCACTATACAAGAGGAATTTAACTCTAAAAAAGAAATGGGGAAATAAAGGAGGAATGAGAAAAATGAACCTTAGAAGGATGTCAAATACATTAAGGAAATTACACCAAGTCTATACTAAATAAAGCAGCAATAACATTTTTAACCTTTTAACTGTGTCCATCACACTTGTAAGCAAGTGATGACTGTGTCCAATGTATTAATAAGCAAGTGATGACTGTGTCCAGTGTACTAATAAACAAGTGATGACTTTGTCCAGTGTACTAGTATGTACAATTTTTCATGGCTTCAAAATTGCCAACTGCTGATATTTTTGACCCTAGCACAACTGTTTGGGTCTTCTACAACCTCTTCATGCCTTTAAAAAAAATCCAAGACCAGACAGGTCTATATATGCAATGTTACACATGATGTACTAACTAGCATAAGTAAACAATGAAACAGAACCTGGTCCACCACCAGCTTCCCTGCCAGCAAACAATGTGTGGAATTGGCAAAAAGATACCTATTCATTCCAGCTTCAATACAATTTCATGATACAAAGAATGGAGTTCAACCATAGAGCACATTATATAGATTTAAACTTAAATAACCCAATATAGTATAACAATGTGAATTATTTCTGTTTTGATAAGTATTACACCTTGAAACAATTGTAACATATTAGGATTTCCTTGTAAATACTTGTTTTACAGTGGTCTTGAAGGCACACAGGAGTTATGGACACAGAAATTACATTGTTTGTATAACCCAGGATATTCCCTAGAACCAAAATATACCATGTAATTATTAAACTAGGATAACCCAACATAGTCAAACAATGTGACTTATTTCCATGTTTTGAGGAGTATTACAACTTGAAAAAAATTGTAATATCATAAATGTTACTTGCATAATGTGTAGAAGTAGAAGACCAAAGCAGTAAAAAATAGAATAAACAATTATACAATATTATATTCCAATTGGAGCAATGTCAAGCAATGTTTGAAGTGCTAAAACACCTTGAAACACATCTATCATTAGAAATTAGTGTACATAGTGTTAAACATCAAAAGCAATAAAGGAACTGAAAAACAATTATATTTGACATCAATAAATTGTAAATCACTGGCCCAATTATGTTGCTGTTGCTGACAAGTGATCATTTTTTCTGACAACTTCAACACGCCATAAAATCACAAGTTTTTATCAGATTGTACTCATTTTAGTGTTATTTAACTCGTAAAAATGTGCTAGTTCAATTTGTAACTTTTTTTTTTTGTTTTGTTTCAGAATCTTGCCACACACAGGAAATTTATTTTCTGGGAATGCCACAGTTAAAGGGTTAGTGAAGTAGATGGGCAGTGATATTAAACAATAATGTCAAGCTTAAAAGCAAATGTGGGAATAAGCTAAATTATTATTATAATCATAACCAAGCTCTAAACCCATAAGGGTCAGGGAATAAGCAAAAGCGTGAAATGCATTATAACCAGAATTTATCTCTCAAGGGAAGTACCTTGATGCTGGTGCATGGCACAATCCAAAGAATCAGACCCATCTTCCCTTACTTTGGATCAAACCTGAATGTCTCCTATACCCCATGTCTGTATGATGCTTATGGGTTTAGCACACTCACATGAATGTAATAATAATGATAATAAAGATAAGAAATTAATGAAAACTGGAATAACTTAAATGACTTAACAAGTTTTCCCTTGCTTTATGCAGTTTCATTTTGTGTGAATTCAGATGTGTGCAGCAACCCTATTTCTACCAGTAATTTGCTACATGCAAGTTACTGGTAGGAATCAAAACTGCAGCTAATGTCACAGAGAAGACTCGCACAATAGTGTCATACCTTACCCTACGTCATTAACTGGTTCCAAGGGCTGTGACATAACCCGGTTTTTGACGTAAACCAGACAATGCTTTAAAATGACGACAACACTGTAAAACTAGCACAAATAACTCGCGAAAGAATGTACAGTAGAACCCCATATCTACTGATTTGGTATCTGCAGTTTCACTTATCCACGGTTTACTGTGGTCCAAAAATACCTCTTAATTTTGCATAATGGTCCCAAAGAACAAAAGTAGAGTAGCTAGCAGTACTTCCAAGACTAAGAAAAGTCGTGAAGTGCCTCCCATCAGTGAAAAAGTGATAATTCTCCACTTATTGTACATAATTTATCAGTTAAACTTTATAATAGGTATAACAGGTATGTATAGGACTTATATATAGGGTTTGCTGCTATCCACGGTTTTGGTATCCACCGCAGGTCCTTGGAACATATCCTTTGCAGATACGGGGGTCCTACTGTATTGCTAAACTTTAACCCTTTGACTGTCGCAACCCCCAATCTGAGGTGTCTCCTGGCGTCGCAAAAATTTAAAAAAAAAATTATTTTTTCTTATGAAATGATAGAGAATCTTTTCCCGATTGTAATGACACCAAAAAAACGAAATTTGATGGAAAACTGATGGAATTATGCTCTCGCGAAGTTAGCGACCTCGGCGCTGTTTACAAATTGGCGATTTCGCCCACTTTGAGCCCTATTTTCGGCTAATTCCCTTGTTCCAGTCGCCCAAACTCATAACTATTTCTTTAGAACTCCATTTTTTCTATCGATTGAGTACAAGAAACTGCCCATTTACCGATTTCAACTACCTAATAATGTGGTCAGAAATTTGCAATTTGGCCAATTTCACAAAAACTAAAAAATATGACAATTTCAAAATAAGGTCCAGAATGAACAATGCAGACATTCCTGGCTCTAAAATAACATTTTCTTTGTTCGTCAGTCACGTCTCCAGGCCCCTCTGATATTACTCTTGCTTTCTATTTTGAATTTTTATTCAAACAAAAAATAGAAGACTTACTATTATGCAGACTACTGCAATACTGTAATAATTGTATAAATAACATCAACCCATTCATGACTGCATATTAGAATGGCTAGTTGGACATTTATTGGACAATGGCATCATTTGCTTACTTTTGAACATTGGCAAAAATCAAACATTTCCTCTATTTTGAGCTCCATTTCTAGGTTCTTTTTATAGTAAAATCAATCAAAATCACCTCTATTTCTATAATATGTTTTCCATTCTATCAAATGAGACCAAGAAAACAAGAATACAACAATAAATACTATACGAAAATAGACCACAAAGTCGGCATTTTAATTAAAAAAAACGGTCGGAGTTTTTTTTTTTTCTCATTATGCACTGCGTGCTTCAGGATTTTTTTTATATGGTGCACACTGACCACACAGACCCATTCTCTCACATGTGGGGCCTACCAGCTTTCTCCTGCTTGATTTGAAGCCGCTAGAATTTATGAGTATATATACGTCAAACACGGTACCTCGTAAGACGTATATATACGGCCTGCGACAGTCAAAGGGTTAAAGAACACTAAGAACACATTTTAGTAATAATTTTTTGAAGAATAATGGATACAATTAAAAATTACAACACAGGTGACGTTGCTGAGTGACATAAAGTTGGGCATAATGACATTCACTAAACTGATATTACTCTAGAAAACTGGTGTAAAGGCAAATTTGACGTAGCCCAAAATGACATAAATTGGGGTATAACTGTATGTGATTAAAATTCTCCCTTATGAAATCATCAAGACCAGTACTACTTTATTTTCTAATAATACTGTATCTCTACAGAGAAAACAAATTTGGGCATAGAAAATCCAATGAGTATATTTAAAAAAAATTCTTATGGTTAGTTTTCAATTTAAGTGTCTTGCTTGCATTTATTTTTGGTAAATGGCTGTTAGGTGCCTAATTTAAGATTGTAATTTTTTGATACATTAATGTACAATTTTTTCCCAATTTTATAATGCACAGGGATTAAGACTGAATTTCGGATTATATGTATTTTTACTTTTTTTTATCAAAGTTGTTCTCTTTCATACATGACCATCTGGTGCATGTATGCCAAGCTCAAATTTTTTTAGTAAACATTAATTAAAAAATGTGGAATTTGCAGAGTATTGAAAAAATCTGTTCTACGTTTCATTGGCTTTGCCTTATGCAAATTCACTTTAAACCTCTGTCACATAAAGCAAGGGAGACCTGCATACTAATTCTGATAAACAGGACTCTATGGCAATTCACTCGTAGTGATGCTCTTTAAACATTCATATGATCTTTTTCTATTTCTGATCACAAACACTTCACAAGTGTTCTCTCACTGTCATTCCTAAAAATGCTACTCATATAATAAACCCACGAGTCTGCTGTTGATAAATGACACACTTATGCAGCATTTGGGTATCTTTATTATGGAAACATTTCGCCACACAGTAGCTTCTTCAGTCCAGTGCGGAAATAAGTGCAAGATGAGGAGGAGTTTGAGGTAATCAGTCCATCAGCCTGATGGACTAAAAGAGGAACACAATGGGTCTAGTAACTGGGCACCAACATTTTATTAGCTAAGCAGTTAAAACAGTACTGAACTACTTACAAATTATTCATCATTCTTATTAGTAATACATTCATTACACAAATCTCCCACCTACTTTTGATATAATAATCAGGTTTTAACTAAGAGGCAGATCCTGTTTCATGCCTTTCATGTTGGTATATGTGCATCGTAAAATCATAAAATTCTGTCAGCTTCAATGGCTAACATCTTTCATTTTCATACTTCCTGCTACTTTTAAAGCTCTAAAGAATCCACTAACCTCTGAATTCCTTATGCTTCAGGTGCCACTGAATCATCATTTATGACAGTGATGTGCATGCCACTCTGGTTACAACACAATTTGAAAGTTAATGTCCAAGTGGGCATGTCCTTACCCTTGTCTTCCCAAGCCACAGGCTTCATATCATCAACTACATTATCTCTGCACTTCAACTTCATCAAAGTGAGGTTGAAGGAAGAGCACAGAAAGTGTCTTTGTGATTAACATCAAATTAGTTATAAAAGGCAAAAAATAATAATGAATGGTTGGCCATCATGAGTTACAAAAGCATTGTATGCAACTGCATATGGAAAAGTATGCCCTTCAAGTGACTTGAATGCTAAGCACACTATGTACAGTATTTGAATGTTTTCCAAAATGAATAAAAGTTGAGGTTCTTGAATTCTGATACAAGGAATGGGTGGAAGAGCAAGATAGTTAATGTCTTGCTATATATCACTTCATCTAAATAACATTTTACTACCCAAACTAAGCTCCTTGTCGATGTGCAATTTCCATTGTGTTATGTTTTCTGCCACTGTAATTACTGTCACCACTGCCAGTAGTTCTCCTATTGATACAATATGGTCCTAGGCTTTTCAGTTTAATTTAAAAATTAAATTTGCTGCTTGTCTACTCTAACGATAATCTATCCTATCAAAATAAAATCAGTAACAAATGTGAGGTCAAGAATACATGAATATATAGGGGTCTTACACTGAATATACAAAATAGTGTAAGAAAACTTAAGATACAAACAGGGTTAATTCAAAGTAAACTAAATATAACTTGAGAAAGCTGTAGAAGAATCACCATGAATGATTAAATTTAAACTATGAATTAGTCTGAAAAATATATGACAAACTTGATAATGTATAGACTATTGAAAAATATTAATGAAAACTCTTAAAAATAGAGTAACAACAAGATAGTTTAAACTAATAGGCAAATTATGTACAGCAATAAGAAAGAAATCCTAAATTTTTCTTAAGGAAGTTTGACAGCAAAAATAAAAGATATACATACTAATTATGAATTTCAGTTAAAAATGATGAAAAATTGAGAAGGCATGTACAAGAGGAAATGTGTGAAAATTATGAGGTGGGAAACATGTTAATTGATAAAGCAATCAAAACTGCGCAAGAACCAGACAAAATCAAGAAAACATTGAGAGCAAGGCAAAACAAATATTTTCAGCACAAAACGCAATACTAGAGCCTTCCACTCACGATGTGTGCCACGTACAAAGGTTGTCATTTATTAGCTATCGATATTCAGTTCATAAAAATTAAACCATGCCTGCCTGCTCTCTCACTCTGGCAGAAATTATATATAAAATGAAATTAGTAATGTTTAGCCCTCACATCTATGAGAAGGATTTCAAATTTTCAGATAAAATTAAGGAAATGAAGATACGAAGCCTAGAAATGAGAGGAGTACTCTAGAACAAGTTTAGTTTCAACCATCACCAACAGATAAAATAAATAAGTTAAAATTCTAAGAGATTTTACAGCAAAGAGCTTTACAGTGTGTGCTGAGAGTTGCTACTACACAATACACTTCTGAATTGCCAGCAGTCGTCCATGGCAGCCAATCAGCGCAGTGACACATTGCCATGCTAATACCAGGCTGCAAGGTACAGAGCCTTGTTTACATTGATCTGTATATGGGCACCATTTATTAGACATGTGATTGGTCAACTGAGTAATGCCAATTTAACAAGTTTATACTGTATTAGAAAGATACAAGGAAGTTTATTTTAATAAATTAAGGAAAAATAGATTAAAAGGTGTGTTAAAATGAATATCAAATCTGTTAGGCAGACATGCATTCAAACAAGGAATTTTGCTTTATTAAAGTTAAGAATCTACTTTACCCAATTTTACTTGGGAAATAGTGTGATAGGCAAACAGGTAAAATATAGAATATGGATAGGTTTTGAACCAATCTCAGTCCCCTAAACTGTTGAGTTGGTTTTCCACATACAACCTACATCAGTAACATCAAGGATCTACTGACTAATGGGCAAACTGTAATCTGGAATTTGTATAATTTATCCTCATTAAAATGCTTTTTAATTAATGTCTTGCCATTAGATATTAACCCATTAGCAGTGAAGCCCTGATCCTGTCTTAAGCTAGCATTCAAAGCCACATGTTGCTACACAGGTTTTGTTTACAGTACCTGTTCTGAGCCACTTTGTTGAGAGCCTCAGGAGTACGGATCAGTCTATCTAGAGTCCGTACAATGGATGCAAAATTTGGACGATGATTGCGCTCCTTCTGCCAGCAGTCTAACATAAGTTGGTAAATGGCTTCTGGACACTCCATGGGTGCTGGCAAACGATAACCCTGTGGGAAAATAGGTTTACAATGATAAGATTTTGTTGCTGAAACCTTAGGCAAGTTATTAATGATACCATTCGCTGCTGAAAGGAGTTTTTTCATACTTTAAATTTATCACATCTATTGTTTCCTACCAGGGTAGGGGTAAGCCAAAGAAAAAAAACATTAATTTTCACTCATTAAATAACTGTCTATCCAAGCTTGTTGAGACATCACACTTGTATCTAACAGGATTTGCTATATTTATGTAAAACAGGTATGGTGTGGATTTAAGATTACAGTGTCATTACATGCACCTGAGATTTGTGGTTATAAGAGTAGATAAAAGAGGGGAAGTATAAATGGATGATGGAATGAATGGTGGTGAATGAGGTTTCCTCCTTTGGGCCACTCTACCTTGATACAAAATGGGAGTTGTCACAGTTGTTCTTTGCCAATGAGAAATTGCAAAGGTTGGTGGAGGAATCTGGGAGGGTATGTAAAAGAAGGAAATTAAAAATGAGCACAGGAAAAAGCAAGGTGATGAGAGCAACACAAATTATGGAAAAAACAAAGACTGGATATAAGATTAGAGCGAGGGAATGGAGGAAGTAAATGTGTTCAGATATCTGGGAGTGAACTTGAACAGATCAGATGGTGGCTATGAAAGAATGGTAAGGAAATTAGATTAAGAATAGTTCAGGTAAATGTGTTTGAATGCGAATTTGTAACATTGAGAGAATGCCTATTAGAATTTCTTAGATCATGTTGTTTAAAGTGCTGCAATTATTTATTAGATATCCTAACTAAATGTTCTTTATCTGTGTTTTGTCCAAGTTTTATTGCATGGACTTTAATTCCAAGCAACAATGCTCAAAAGGTCTTTGAATTACTCTGATCAGTTGTTTGTCCACCCAATAAGTTGTTCCATCCTGCAGTGGTATTCTAGGTTTAGTTCCTGATAGAATTAAAAACGTAATAGATGTAGTTAACAAAGGACACTCTTATGTTGATAAACCAAGTTAATGAATATTGTCATTAATGGGCTCATGCTGTCTGTCAGTATACCTGGAGAGGGTTTCAGGGGTCAATGCCCCCATGGCTCAGTCTGAGACCAGGCCTCATGGTGGATCAGGGTCTGATCAACCAGGCTATTACTGCTGGCCGCACACAAACTGATGTATGAACCACAGCCTGGCTGATCAGGTACTGAATTTAGGTGCCTGTCCAGTGCCTTCTTGAAGAGAGCCAAGGGTCTATTGGTAATCCCCTTTATGTATGCTGGGAGGCAGTTGAACAGTCTTGGGCCCCTGACACTTATTGTGTTGTCTCTGAGTGTACTCGTGGCACCCCTGCTTTTCATTGGGGGAATGTTGCATCTCCTGCTGAGTCTTTTGCTTTCAAAGGAAGTGATTTTAGTGTGCAATTTTGGTACTAATCCTTCTAGGATTTTCCAAGTGTATATTAACACGTATCTCTCTCGCCTGCATTTTAGGGAATACAAATCTAGGGACTTCAACTGTTCCCAGTAAGTTAGGTGCCTTATCGCACTTATGTGTGCCGTGAAAGGTCTTTGTACACTCTCTGGGTCAGCAATTTTGCCAGCAGTATTTCAGTGTACAGTATTCCAGCCTAGAAAGAACAAGCAATTTGAAAAGAATCATCATGGGCTTGGCGTCCCTAGTTTTGAAGGTTCTCATTATCCACCCGATCATTTTCCTAGCAGATGTGGTAGATGCATTGTTGTGGTCTTTGAAGGGAAGATCCTATGACATTATCACTCCCAGGTCCTTCACATTACTTTTTCGTTGTATTGTATGGTTAGAATTTGTTGTGTACCCTGATACAGTTTTAATTTCCTCATGTTTTCCATATCTGAGTAGTTGAAATTTCTCTTCACTGAACTTCATATTGTTTTGCGAGTGTCCCATTTGAAGATTTGGTTGATGTCCGCTTGGAGTCTTGTGGTGTCTTCAATGGAGGACACTGTCATAGCAATTTTGGTGTCATCTTTCTATGTCAGATATGAGGAAGAATAGGATGGGAGAGAGTACCGCGAAACAGAGCTTTTCACTGTAGCTGCCTCGGACTTTACTCTGTTTATTATTACTCTTTGTGCTCTATTTGTCAGGAAGTTATAGATCCATCTACCAACATTTCCTGTTATTCCTTTATCACTCATTTTGTGTGCTATTATACCATGGTCACACTTGTCAAAGGCTTTTGCGAAGTCTGTGTATACTACATTTGCATTTTGTTTATCCTCTATAGCATCCAGGACCTTCTCAAAGTGGTCCAGTAGCAGGGACAGTCAGGAGAGACCTGCTCTAAACCCACATTGCCCTGGGTTGTGTAACTGATAGGCATCTAGGTGGCTGGCGATCTTGCTTCTTAGAACCTTTCAAAGATTTTTATGACATGGGATGTTTGTTAGTGCTATCGGTCTGTAGCTCTTTGCAACTGCTTTACTGCCACCTTTGTAGAGTGGGGCTATGTCTGTTGTTTTTAGTGAGTGTGAGATGACCCCTGTGTCCATGCTCCCTCTCCATAGAATGCTGAAGGCACATGACAGGAGCTTCTTCCAGTTCTTGATGAACACGGAGTTCCACGAGTCTGGACCTGGGGCAGAATGCATGGGCATGTCATTTACTGCCTTTCCAAAGTCTTGTGATGTTAGGATAATATCAGAGATTTTTGAGGTGACCAAATTTTGGGTCTTGTTCACAAAAGAATTCATTTGGATTGTCGACCCTTAGTCTGGGTAATGGCTTGCTGAACACTGAGTCGTACTGGGACTTTAGTATCTCACTCATTTCTTGGGTGTCATCTCTGTATGTCCCATCTCACCTAAGGTGGGATTTTGTGCTTGGATGTTTTATGATTCCACAATGTCTAGTTTAAGCAGTAAGATGCAGTCTACTATATCAAAAGTTTTTCTTAAATCAATAAGAGGCAAATTAGTTGTTCTTTATTTCTAGAGAAGAAGACTTGAACATTTTTATTATTGCATCATTGTACCATTTCTTGGCCTGAAACAAAACTGGCAAAGGTTATATAAACAAATGTATGGATTTATAATGCATTTTCAAAATTGGATAATAATGGCAAGTTAGAAACTGGCATGTAGTTGCTCTCTTTGAGTATCACTTTTGTGCCTTAGCATCAGTATGCTTGGGAAAGTTTTGGTTTCTATAGCTTTGTTGAGCAGTGATGCAATGTATATGAATGGTAGTATATTAGCTTTGTTTTCTGCTTGTTCTTAGAGATTTATTACTGAAATTACTCTGTAGATTTGGTTGAGAATAGGTATAGAGAACTTTAGTAATTATATGGGAAGTAATCTCTAACTTTGGCATAGGAGTTTGATATTTTTCTGATTAGGTTTGATATTATAGTCAAAATGAGATAATGTAGTTTACAGTTACAGCAATTTGAAAGAAGTCTCATTTGTTGTAATAATATTGGTAAAATTACTGACAGTATGTGAGGTAAAAAGAACACACATGTGCAACTAATGCAACATTATATTGCGAAGTGTTTTGCTCTCTAGGAGCTGTCAAGATTGAAAAGGCTCCTGGAGAGTGAAACATTACTGCAATAAAATGTCACATTAGTTGCAAATGTGTCCTTCCACAAGTTTCATTTGGTTTAGTTAGTATTTGTCCAGATGTGGTCAAGTGAAGACAGTTGTTTTGGTTTTGTAGGCTTACTGATTGGTAGTAACAAGCAATTCATGTTAAGGAAACCTACTTGCAAGTCATTCTGACTGAATGAAGTTCATTATAGTCTCCAATAATAATTGTTTATGATTATCAAAGTTGGCATTAATATGTGGTGATGTGCTAGAGAGCTCCTATTGAGATTGGAGTCTGTTACAATGTAGTAAATTTTGCAAATATATATTCCCCAAATTCGTCTCTGGTACATGATGAATTAATACATTTCAACTCATTAGCTTAGTAAAGTGCTATTCTACCTCCTCATGTTTTAGCTAGGTTTCTGTAAGAATAATGAAAGTTAGATTTTCATTTAATGACACTAAGAGCTCATTGATGTCATCATAGTGTTTACTTAGGGCTCTGGCATTGTAGTTAAGTACTGAGATTTTTTTTTAGTGTTGAGGAAGATAGATCTTGTTGGCTAACTGCATAATATTTGCAATCTTGGTCTGCCGTACAGTATTAGATCACAGAGCAATAAAAAAGTGTCTCGACAAGTACTGTATTGAATGCTGGATCATGTGCAGAAGGTTTCTGTCTATTAACACATAAGCAATACCTTTTCAATACTCTTTATGACATCTTGGTTGCTCCAGTTCCAATATGGTCTTTCTCCGTAACTCATGACTTCCCACATAACAATACCCAGACTCCAAACATCAGATGCACTTGTAAACTTGCGAAATGCAATTGCCTCTGGTGCAGTCCATCGAACTGGGATTTTACCTCCCTGAAAGAATAGAATTAGTTTTAATTACACAATATAAAGGTAGGGATTATATATATATATATACATATAGTATATATATATATATATATATATGCAATATATAGTCGTGCGAATATTAAAACACTGGTCATTAGCAAAGAACTCATAAATTAAGTCCTTCTAAAATTTTCTCTTATACGTGTTTAAAATATATTTTTTTCATGATAATCTTGATGTAAAAATTTTTAATTTGCACCAAAGGAACTTAGAAACTTACCTAACTTATTATAACAAGCGACAATTTATTTTAGACCTAACCCAACTAAATATATTTTAGATTTGGTTCAATAATTTAATATAAAAACGCAGTGAAATAATTTCTCGTTAGGTTCAAAAATTTGACGAAATATTGCATACACATTTTTGTTGTACTATATTGCAAGATAGGTTGCTATTTACCAGATGGAATTCTGCCTATCGCACGAATTATAATATATATATATATAATTGTATAATAACATTTAGTATATGCAAGTTCAAGAGCAGTAAATATACACAAACACTGATCTCTGACTGAAGGAGACTCGAATAGAACCTTAGGACAGGGACGCATGCTTTCATGCCATTTACCACATGACAATACTTGGCGTTACATGCATACAGTTTTGATCCAAGGCAGCCAGCTTTCCCTGAATGAAGCTCTACTAGACCCAAGCACCAGCTATTTCAGCACCCTACACCACTATAATCTTATGGGTTTAGCATTTTTTTTTTTTTAATACAAATAACTCCTTCATATTCCATATCCCTACATAGCACTGTGAACATATTTCAAGGAAAGTGTTCTACTTCAGATACTCTGGGCTCTAGCAATTTAAATAAATGGCTTTTAAAGTGTGGTTTAATAACATTTTAGAGCAGTCAAGAGCAATAAAACATCTTTAAAACCATCCCTTCTAGGGTTAGTAGCAGCGCTAGTTTCATGACATTTCCAATACTAAGATAAAAGTTCAATAATTTTTGTCATGGAGCTGAAAATGAGTATTTTATACAAGCTAGACATACTGATTTCAAAATTGAGATGAATGACTGTATAGCAAAGACAGGCTTAGTAATGTTAATAATTGCATTCAAAAGTGAATATGATTTAATTCTTAGAAAAGATTTATAGGAAAAAACATTTGAAAATTTTACAGTATAGTAATGTGGACTATATATTGACAGAAAACCTTTAATATTCTTCAAGTACTCTAGCCAGAAGTACGGCTATCCATGTCACACATACAATTTTTGCCCAAGACCAATAGTGTATAACACCAAACTGTTTCCAGCTATTCCAAATTCCCCCCTCCCCTTTTTTTTAACGTGTGGAAATCTAATAACGAAATGGAGAAAACTGTTATATAAATATTAAGTACTGCAAAATATATAAAACAAGACTAAGCAATGGATTACATTAAATCTCTGATTATGCAAATCCACAAACTTCAAGAAATTGCTGTCCCTAGATTCTAACAGTGGCTTTAGAGAGACTTTACTTTGGTCACTTACATCTCTGTTGGATGGACTTCATATATTACACTTATTTAAATATTCTCATGTTAATGAACTAGGGCAGAACATGAATGCAGAATAACATATGATAGAGGTTTACTGATGGATAATAGCTAAATTTGATGAAAATTAAGGTGCTTTAAAAAAAAGTTAACATATTTTAAACTTTATATATGAAAACTCACTAATCAGGTATACCAGAAATTATAATATTGCTGGCACCACATTGGTAACCTCAACAGCAAACTGCTCAAATGTGCATAATCAAGCAGGCAGTGACAGATATATACTGGCTTGCAGACAAGTTACATTAGCCTGGCTTAAGAACACCACTTAATCTTATAGTCTCTACTGGATATTTTTATGTAATGAGAGCAAGTTAAACTTTGCCGCAAATCTCTCTACAAAATTTACTACAAATAAATGATGGTGTGCACGTACACAAGGTCTGACGACACTGGAGGACAGGAGGGTCAGGGGTGACATGATAACGACATACAAAATACTCTCTGGAATAGATAAGGTGGACAGAGACAGAATATTCCAGAGATGGGACACAGAAACAAGGGGTCACACTTGGGATCTGAAGATTCAGATAAGTCAAAGGGATGTTAGGAAGTATTTCTTCAGCCAGAGTTGTTAGGAAGTGGAATAGTCTGGTAAGTGATGTAGTGGAGGCAGGAACCATACATAGTTTCAAGACGAGGTATGATAAAGCTCGTGGAGCAGGGAGAGGGAGGACCCAGTAATGGTCAGTGAAGAGGTGGGGCCAGGAGCTGAGTCTCAACCCCTGCAACCACAACTAGGTGAGTACAAAAGTACACACAAAACTATGGTATAGTATTAGACATTGCATGGCAAAAAAAGAATAAGTGCCAAATAAAAAAAATGGAGAAAAACGCAGGTGTGGGGAGAGAATGGAGCTATGAAGCTCGCGTTACCATACTTTGCTATGGGGATTCTTGAGCCTAAGTTACAGATGAAGAAGAAATCTACACATTCCCACAAACAGATGAAACATTAAGTAACTGATTCATTAACTAACCTAGATTCTGACTGTGGTGGAACTTATTCTTTTCCACTGCACAATGCCTTGTATATACAGCAGTTAGGTAATGAATTTTCAATTAATCTAACAGAAACTCACCCTTGTGGTATATGCTCCTTCTGTGTGACTTTCAATCTCCCTTGATAACCCAAAGTCAGCAATCTTGCACATGAGTTGGGCATTTACAAGTACATTTCGAGCAGCTAGGTCACGGTGCACATAATTCATCTCACTGAGGTACTGCATTCCTGAAGCAATGCACCGCAACATTCCTACAAGCTGAAGAACCTGGAACTTTCCATCATTTACCTGAAATGTTGAGCTAGTAGTCATTACTCTGCCTCTTCAGAGTAAATTAAAGTGTTTTTAATTTTCATAAAAAAATGCATGCTTCAGTAATAGCATGTAAAGAAATAAAGTTAATGATAATTAAAAGGTTAACAGTGTAAACTATACTGGAACCTCGGTACTCGAACGCTTTGCTCAGTAAAAAAAATTGCTTGGCAGTCAACCGTTTGCTTGGCACCTAACCAAACAAATACGACCTGCCAGAACATGTGCATCAGTCTCCCCGTAGCTGTTGCTCAGTGCAAAACTCCGCTGAACTTCGCTGTAAACTATTTCGAATTTCTTTGCATTTTTTGGTGCTTTTTTTTTATTTGTATAAATGTCACCATGGGACCTAAGTGATAACAGCCAACCAAAAAGAAAAGTGGTTAGTTACAACAGAGATGAAAAAAGAACTCACAGCAAAATATGAAAGTGGTGCCCTCACATCTGATCTTGCTACCTGTGTAAAATATTCGTTGTTTTATATTTGCTGTGAAAATCATTTCAATCCATTCATTATTAATGATGCCAGGTCAAGAAATAGGTCAATATCTAGGAAAGTGTGCATACAGCATACGACTCTGGTAGGAATATTTGAGAAAAATCATGCTATTTTTTTGAGCTTTTTTTGTTAAGGTAAACGTGATCTAAGTGTGTTTGCCCTGATGTAAACACTACCTCCACCTCTCCATATAACACGACTTTTATTATTAATTTTGGCATCTTTACTGTGCTTTTAGGTTATCTATCATATTTATGATATCAAGTGGGAATAAATTTAATAGATAGATAACCTTTATTATGCTTGCTTTCCATTTTGAGTTTTTATTCACACACAAAAATAGAAGATTTACTGTTATACAGACTACTGCATTATTGTAAAAATGGTATAAATAATATCAGTGCCTTTGTGAAACCATATTAGACCCACCAGTTGACTTGTATTGGACGCGTGATGTGATTTGTTTACTCTTGAACATCAGCAAAAGTCAAACATTTCTGCTACTTTGAGCTCAATTTCAAGGTACTTTTAGTCTGTAAACCATTCAAAATCATCTCTATTTCTGTAATATATCTTTCATTCTATCAAATGAGACCAAAAAACAGAGAATACAACCATAAATACATATGAAAATACACCACGAAGTCACTGTAAGTGTATTTTTGGGGGTCTGAAATGGGTTAATCTAATTACATGTGCATTATTCCTTATGGGAAAAATTCGTTCGGTACTCAGATTGGCACTTGAATAGCCTTCTGGAATGAATTAAGTTCGAGTACCGAAGTTCCACTGTACTACATTTTATTATTTTAAGTATGGTTTTTTAAACACACTGGCAGTCTCTCAATGAGGTAGGGTAAAACCAAAAAAACAAGGAAACACTTTTACAGTCTGATTCAATTACTGTCTTGCCAGAAGTACTTTGACATCATAGCTCAGATGGCTCTCTGAACTGCAACATCCCCCACTCATCCTTCAGAGTGCAGGTACTTATCACTGTACTTATCACCTCCAGGACTCAAGTCCAGCTAACTTGTTTTCCTGAATCTCTTCATAAATGTTATCTTGTGCACACTTCAAAACCACCTCAACAACCCTTCCTCAGCCCTCTTAAGATCATAAGAATGTAGAAACAGTACAGCAAGCCTGCTGGCCCATACAAAGCAGGTCCTTATCAAAACCACCATGTATTTGTCCAACTTTTTCCCAAAGCTGCCAAAGACTTTACTCCCAGACACCAATCAAACCCAGCCCCTCCCAGTCATACATTTGTCCTATCTCTTTTTTAAAGCTACCCAGGTTCCTAACCTCAATTACCCTACTTGGAAGATTATTCTATGCATAGACAACTCCATTTGAAAACCAATACTTGCCTTCATCCTTTCTAAATTTATCTAACTTAAATCTGTTATTTCTGGTTCTTACTTGATACCGTATTCTCAGTATTTTATTAATATTGCCTTTATTTATGCCCATCATCCACTTATACACTTTGATATCTCCTCTCATTCTACATCTCTCAAGAGAGTGAAGATTCAAGGCTCTAAGTCTATTTTCATATGGGAGATTCCTTATACATACAGTGAATCAACTTAATTATCTTTCTCTGTATGTTCTCCAATGAATTTATATCCATTCTGTAGTAAGAGACCAAAAGAGAGCAGTATGATCGAAGTGAGGCCTTATTAGTGATGTATAGAGCTGTAAAATGACTTTTGGACTCTACTTATACTTCTTGAAATAAATCCTAGTAATCTGTTAGCCTTATTATGTACACTTAGGCACTGTTGTATTGGCTTTAGATTTCTGCCTACCATGACTCCCAGGTATTTTTCACATTCCGTGCAATCAACTCTACATAGCCTATTTTATAACTTCGAGGGTTATTTTCATTCCTAAGGACTAGGACTTTACATTTGTCCACATTGAAATGCAAATGCCATTTTTCAGACCAAGATATTAATTTGTCCAAATCTTCCTGGAGTTCACTGGTATCCTCCTCAGAATCAATCATTCAGCCTATTTTTGTATCATCAGCAAATTTACTCGTGTCATTTGTAATTCCTTAATCAAGGTCATAATGTAAATTATGAACAACAGTGGGCCCTGTGGAATGTCACTAGTGACCATTCCCCATTCAGATTTGACCCCATTAATAGAAACTCACTTCATTCTATTGGTAAGCCATGCCTCAATCCATGTTAGAACTTTACCTACTATGCCATGAGCTGCCACTTTTCTTAAGTCTTTTGTAAGATACTGAAATCCATATAAACATCATATTCTTTATCATATTCTTTATTTACTGAAGAACATCGGTAAATTTGTTAAGCAGAAACGACCTTTCATGAATCCATGCTAAGACTCTTTAATCAAAATTTGCTCAAGGTTACTGCTAATAATATCAGCTATAACTGATTCTAATAATTTGTCTACCATAGATGTCAGGCTTATTGGACAATAATTTGATGGAATGGACTTATCCCCTGATTTAAATATAGGAATTACATTAGCCAGCTTCCACACCTCTGGCACAATACCAATTTGGATGGAAGCATTAAACATGCTCGTTAGCAGCTGACTAAGTTCCAACTTGCATTCTTTAATTACCCTTGAAAATAATTCGTCAGGGTCTGGGGACTTATTTTGTTTCAAGTTATCTACCTAAGTAATACTATTAGTAACCCCACACCACCTAATCTCCAGGCTCTGAATTCTCTACATAATATTCACACCAAACATTATCCCCAAATATAATATCTCAACTGCCATCAGCCTTTTCATAGCTGCAACCTATAAAACCCATGCTTCACAAGCATATAACAGTGTTGGTAACACTATACTTAAGTACAAATAACCTTTCTGCCTCCATGGATAAAGTTTTTTTCTTCCATATATTCTGCCCTCAGTATATCACATCTAGTGTAAAAACCTCTCATATGCTAACATTTCTTCCTTATCACCCTCTTCACTTCATTCCACCAGTTGCTGCTCTTCCCACCTGCATCCACCCTCCTATACCCATAAACTTCAGCACACACTAGCACTGCATTCTGAACCCCCTATACCTCATGACATAACCTGTGAACATAAGAACATAAGAAAGGAGGAACACTGCAGTAGGCATGTTGACCCATACTGGGCAGGTCCTTTACAATCCACCCCACTAACAGAATATTTGCCCAGCCCACTTTCAGTGCTACCCTAACAACAAGCTCTGATAAATCTGTTTATTCATGTGCAAGTCCCACTCAATCCAGCCCCTCTCATTCATGTATTTATCCAACCTAAACTTGAAACTACCCAAGGTTTTAGCTTCAATAACCCTACTAGGCAGACTGTTCCAAACATCAACTACCCTATTTCCAAACCAATGCTTTCCTATATCGTTAATAAATCTAAACTTATCTAATATGAATCCATTACTGGGGGTTCTCTCATGGCGGAAGATCCTTAAGACTTTATTTATATCCCCTTTATTAATATCTATCTTCCACTTATACACTTCGATCATGTCTCCCCTCATTCTTCGTCATGCTAGTGAATGTAGTTTAAGGGGCTTCAATCTTTTTTTATATGGAAGATTTCTTATGCTATGTATTAATTTTGTCATTCTTTGCTGAATGTCTTCTAATGAATTTACATCCATTCTATAATATGTATGGAGACCAGAACTGAGCTGCAAAATCTAGGTGAGGCCTTACTAATGATGTATAAAGCTGTAGTATAACTGCTGGACTTCTGTTGCTTACACTTCTTGATATAAATCCCAGTAATCTGTTTGCCTTATTACGTACACTTAGGCATTGCTGTCTTGGTTTAACCCGTAAACGGTCCAAACGTATATATATGTTTTTTCAACATTTGAAAGTATGTAAAAAAATTAGATCTTCTTTTTGTTTTTTACATTTGAAAATGTGTAAAAAAAACTTTGATCTACTTTTTTTTTTTTTGTTATATTTGAAAATATTTAAAAAACGTAGATCTACTTTTGTAGCACTACACATGTGAACGTAGATCTGCTTGGACCGTTTACGGGTTAATGTTGCTGATCAACATTACCCCCAAGTCCTTTTCACAATCTGTATAGCTAAGTTCTACATTATTTAGCTTGTAAGTGCTAGGGTTATGGACCTTCCCAAGATTCAGAACTTTGCATTTATCTACATTGAACTGCATCTGCCACTTTTCTGACCACGAATTGAGTTTGTCTAAATCCTCCTGAAGTTCCGCGACATCCATGTCTAAATTAATTATCCTACTTATCTTTGTGTCATCAGCAAATTTGCTCATATCACTAGTAATTCCCTCGTCAAGGTCACTGAGATATAGTGGAACCTCTACTTACAAGTTTAATCTGTTCCCTGACCTTGCTCGCATCTTGATTTGCTCATTTGTCGAGTCAATTTTCCTTATTTAAATTAATTGAAATGGAATTAATCCATTCCAGTGGAATTCCAGGCATGACAAAATACTTCAGTATCTCCCTAATATCAACTCTGTGGCTTTTTTATCTATCACAATTCATCTAATACAGTGGACCCTTGAATTTCCTCCCCCTTGAATATCACGAATTTTGGAAATCGGCAACTTTTTTC